AGAAACCTCAAGAAATCTTTGTTTTATTACCGTGTGCAAATTTATTATTGTCAAAATCTGCATTGAAAATAAATATGCATGTGTAGCCAAGTCCCAGCTAATAAAGTTCATCTTATATGTCTTCTTGAATTTGGTCTTACAATACCGTTATAGTTCAGTTGAATTGCAATCCAGATTTCGATAGACTATTATATGTACCCTTAAATTCTTAAAAAAATATTTCAGGCACGAAGCATCAGGAGGGGTCCCCACTTTTTTCCAAACATAACCCACTTCTATTGTAAATGTCCACTGAAATGCTGGTTGCCCCCCCCCCTTTGTTGTAGGATAGTTTAAATCAAAGTAATTCGGTATTATAATGTGTTTCGAAAAGAAAATGGAAGGTGGAACCCCCCCCCCCCCCCGAAATAGGATTTTCGAGTTTGGACACTTTACCTTTTTTTTTGCTTGTCAATGTTTTTTTCAGGTAGGTTGTCAAAAAAATTTCTGGCTGCCCCCCCCCCCCTTTTGAAAAACCGATACCACGTGCCTGTACGTTATAATTTTTAAATTTTCTTAACTCCTTTATATGCATTTTAACTATTCAAGATAGACTACCGCCGGTGCATTAAAAACAACATAAATAAAGCTTTAATTCACATAAGTAAAACGACTGTATATTTTTTCTACATTTTCATGGAGTTTTATGAAATCACCACACGTTGCTCAAAAGTTAAGACTACATGTACTACTTTGTTACATACATATATCAAAAAGTGAGATATGCGTTTCAATATTAAAATTTAAGTTGCACAATTATTTACTCGATTTTCTTTACTGTTGACTTCCAAAATGTCTTCGGTCAAATTCCACAACCCAGATGATCGCAACATTGCCTCAAAGTCTTTGTATGAAGTGCTAGTAATCTTTAATCAAAAGGTATTATTGGTGTGTCAAAGAGCTATAAATCGATTAGCGTACAGGTGTTTTTCGTTCCAGAACCATGCAGCAGGGAGAGATCTCTGTATGAAAAGGTCACGCATGCACATCCTTGATTATTACCAAAAGTACACACAGTGGGTGGTGGAGGAGAATAGTGTGATTTGTTGTTAACTCTACTGTATTATATCACATGTTGTTTTTATCTATTTTTATTTAGGCCTATATGTCATTGTTTTAAACTTTCAAAAGAAATTGCTATATAGAGGATTGACATACTTAAAAATCCAACAATTAAACACACAACTGGTAATATGCATCCCCTTTTTTTACGTTATCTATACATGTATTCTGTGTAGAATGTTTTTTTATTCGGGGGTGTTCATATACTACAAGTTGAAGATTGCGTGCCTGTCAATTTATCTACATGTATAATATACGTTGTACATATTCTTGAGAGTCTAGCGGAATTTTAAAAGAATCTTTTTTTAAAAAGAATACTCGTTACTCCTCCTTTTGTATTTATAATATGTTTCAAGCATCCAAGCCACATTGAGCTGTTCTCTAATGAATATTAATGAAATGTGCGCAATGAGGATGATTTGCATATTATGTCGATGTTGTATTCTCACTCGTGCAGTTTTCGTTTTTACGTTTGTGTAATTTCCTCACTACATCGTGTAAATATTTTGTTGATTGTGCAGTTTTTCTATAGTTTGTGTAAATTTTAATAACTTCGTGTATATTTTCCTCACTTTGTGTAAGTTTTTACTTACTCGTGTAATTTTTGTTTAAGGTCGTGCAGAAAATAATTTTGAAGCAATCGGCGTGCCATACTTTAGCGTTATTTTAACACAAATCGATATCATCCGTACATTTATCCAAAAAATTATATTGAAATCTGAAAAGAAAAACAATGTTAGGGATGATGATTCACTAAAGCATTCAAACTTGATAGTAAATATAAATATATAATAGTACAAGTATAACAAATCAAGACTAATTTCTCTAGCTTAGACTGATCAAAAATGTACTGGCCGGACAGAGAGAGAGATATAACCTATCACCCAGGTATGCATTACCTACAGGTCTTAGACTCCTCCCCGCCGAATATACCTGGAGACAATGTGTTGATGCTTTCTTCCCTCCCTACTGTGTTTACAAACCAAAGCAAGCTGTTAATAGTATTCAATGGTAGAGTACATATGATTCTATGTTTTTGATGATTCTATAGCTTTGTTGTTGTTGTTTTTAAGCTCGATTCCTAATTTTTTTAAAGAAATATTCAAAGTGTTTGCACTTAATATACTGAGTTTCATTTTCTACTATGCCTTCTTAGATTAATAAAAAAAAAATACACTAAATATCATAAACAAAAATTCAGTGGTCAAATTAATTAAAATTTATTAAATTATTTATCTCTCAACCTATTCTTTAAAAACAAAAGTTTTTTAAATGAAAATAATGATTTTTTAAGATTTATCATTTAGCTCCGAAAAAAAACTGAAGAATCTCATCAGGGAAAATCTCTCGGAAAAAATTTTGCGGAAAAAACTGCCATGCAAGGACCAGGTTACATACGTGAGTCTAAAAAGGCGGCCTGGACTTTCTTGCTATTGGCCACCATGGGGTGGATGGCCTACCATCTTATTTATCTGATAGCTCATTATCTGGAAAAGCCTGTACAAACCACAATTTCTTTGGGTTTCAATAATCTACACTTTCCCTCAGTGACAGTCTGCAATATTAACGTGATTAGATTTAGCGAACTACAATCTACCTCCAATGCTCTCATGGATTTGATAGCTGCAGGAAATCCAACAGGGGCAAGTTATTTAATAAATGATTACAAGTTCCCTCCCTTCTTTTTTACTCATAATTGAAGTCTATCCAGAACGGATGTTTAATTATCTTCTACGAGGATTGATCCAAAAGTATTGTCGTAACTGCTATAAAATCAAATCTAAAAACAATCGAATGTTATCACCAAAATGTACATACAAATACCCCTATCAACTTTGATTTTTGTCTTAAAATTTCATTTCATTTAGTTTAAAGTATACTTTTTAAATTACTGAGTATTAAGCTTTACACAACTATCATGTTGTAAATTTTGAATTTACTAGGGGGAGGTAAATGCAAAATTTACAACATGATAAGTTATCATGTTGTAAATTTTGCATTTACCTCCCCCTAGTAAATTCAAAATTTACAACATGATACAACTGTAGGTTCTGTCTATCGCTGCAGGGCAAGAACGTTGCCGATGTCGTTATGGCGTCACTTTTCGGCTCTCATTTTCAGTTAATTCAGTTAATCTTTTTAACCTTTCACATGCTTCTTTTCAATAATCTTTGCTGTCATTTAAGAAATAAGGTATCATTTAAAAACATCTATCGGGATATAAATACGGGTTGGTCACGAGATCAAATTCCATAAAGCCCGAAGGGCTTTATGGTAAATTTGATCTCGTACCAACCCGTATTTATATCCCGATAGATGTTTAAAAATGATACCTTATTACTTATATTTACACTTGTGACTTATTTATTTTTGCCTAATTATAATTTTTAACGTGTGAAGTGTTTTATTTTTCAAACTCAACGGCACGTGTTTAATCCATTGATTGCGCGTCGACCTTTTATGACGTCACTGAGAAATTACGTCGAACGTTTATGACGCGAGGAACCCGTGTTTATACGGATATAGATACACATTGCTTTCAATTGCGTTATATAAAGGAAAGCATTTGCAAGTGTAAATATTTTGCTATAAACGTCATGTTGCGAGTTTTGATTATATTATTTGAACTTTGTCAAAATACTAATTTTAAATTCATTCCTTTTGTGCGTGGAGTGGGAGCCTTTCACGCCACTTCCTCTGAAAATCCGACGCTATGCTAGATCTACATTTACGTGAAATAAATGTACAAATGAAATGCTAAATGGAAAGTTAATTATTTTTAAAGTAGCTCAAAACTAGACATTCCAGCACAAGTCCGGAGTGTACATGAATTAAAACGTATATATGTGAGAGATTTGATAGATGTGTGGATGAACTGAAAATGAGTCGCCAGCGTAGCGCAGTGGTTAGAGTGTTCGCTCTAGAGTCGCGGAGTAAGGAGTTGATCCTTACGTCGCGGGTTCGAATCCCACCGTGGGACGTGGAGACCGGTCCTTCGGATAAGACCGTTTAAACCGTGTCGCAGTAGGTGCTAGCACGAAAAAGATCCCTCACTGCTCAATGGCCCTGAGTGCCGAGTATAGGTCAAAATTTGCAGCTCTCCACCGGCAAATGGTGGCGTCTCCATATGAGTAAAAAATTCTCTACAGGGACGTTAAACAATAAACAAACTGAAAATGAGTGCCGAAGAGAAACATCATAACGACGTCGGTACAATCTTCACCATGCGGCGAGAGACAATATAAGACCTAACTCTGTGTTTATTTTAGTATTTCAAAAAATATTCCATATATCTAAATGAAATTGTAAGGCAACAATCAAGATAGATACAGGTATTACTATAAAAAAAATTGTTGATAACTTTCGATTATTGAAGATTTCAAAGGAGCTAGTTGCGATATTTGCTGATATTTATGGAAGCCGGTAGGTGCCAGGTAGAAAAAATATTTTATCTGGCGGCCGCCACATAATTTCTGGCGGCCGCTAAATAACTTTCTGGCGGCCGCCAGATCTTTTTATCTAGCGGCCGCCAGAAAATTATTTGGCGGCCGCCAGTTATTTATGTGGCGGCCGCCAGATAAAATATTTTTTCTACCTGGCACCAACCGACTTCCGTAGATATTTAATATCCCACAAACATCCCAAATTATGCAATTAAACGAATAAGAATGTCACAGAGGGAAACAATTTATAAATACAAAGCAATATTTTCAAAATCTTATTTTGTCAGTATGTGATTTAATATCTCTAATAAAGAATATACGTAAACTTCTTCAAAATGCTGAATGTTTGCATTTCATCTTAGAGCATAGAATGACTGGAGAACTCTTTGACTAAGAAAGATTTAAGGAATTTACCAGAAGTAATGATAATTTTTTTAACTGGTTCTTTTGTTGTAGCCTGGTGGTCCCCCTGGTCCTGGTGGTCCGTCTGGTCCCGGTGGTCCCCCTGGTAGTGGACAACCACCTCCTGGTCGAAAAAAAGGTGTTTAAATTTGTCAGATACCTGTTCGTTATCTTTACCTTTTTCATACCCTATACATTGTTGATTTACTCGCACAAAAAGAGAGTTGATACTTGATGAAATCTTGCTAAGAAATTGAATTTTTTTTTATATTTTAGAGGAATTCCGATACTTTGGAGCTACATGAATTTGGCGTCAACTTTACGAAATTATATCTTGAATTAGACAGGCATTCACCAAAAAAATCTTGGTAAAAAGTATACATATTTGTGTTGGTGGGTGGCTTCCAGAATTTAATCGAAATTTTTAAAAAGATGGAGTTTGTTTAATATTAATGGTATACAATATTTATGCATTAATTAAGTAATAACTAATAAGCCCTTGTTTGGTTGTTCTTCGGTGTTTTACTTGGTATTTTGTTTGCTGGATTCGGTGCTTGTTTGTTCATTCGGTTGGATAATTTATTAATAAATTGGTTACATTTTTGTTTGCTTGCTTGTTTTCCTTAGCTTCCATATTACATGTATTATAATTATCACAGTGTTTTATTGTTGTTATTTCTTGTTTATTTGGTTGTTGTAGATCTACAAGAGTACGGTCCGGACACCAGATTAAATTGATATCATGGTCATGGATTGTTCCTTCAATGAACATAAATGTTACTCTCGGTAAGCATCGTCATCGGAAATCCACAGTTGATTACGGGAAATTCACGGTTGATTACGCTTCGCTCCTCTCTTCAGGATGTGTATAGAAGAACAAAGCATAACCAACTGTGGGTTTCCATAGGGAAGCATGTAACGTAGAATATTTTGACTGTCAAATTACGGAACTGTTCATGAGATAAGCGTTGCTATTTTCCTTTCAGTGATTTTACATTAGTTAATACAGCAGAGTACGGAAACTGTTTTACGCTACATTCAGAAAAATTTATTTCCAAAGAAGCCGTACCGAGATCAGGTAATTCTATTCATTTCATTGTGGCACAACTGGGAGTCTATAGATTTTATCTATTTTATCAAGCTTGAGTGTCTTAAGATTTCAATTTTTTAACGGAGTTCTGGAATTTCTGCAAGTTTCCAGAATTCTTTTTTAAAAAGCAATAAGATACTGAATTAAAGATGTGATGCACTACTGTGCATAGCAAATTAATGATGAGTTTTATTTTCATCAATGCAATACTGGTTGACGTCCAATTTTCAGACTTTTTTTTTTGTTTTTTTTTTTTGTTTTTTTTTTTTGTTTTTTTTTTTTTTTGTTTGTTTGTTTGTTTGTTTTTTTTGTTTTTTTTTTTTTTTTGAAAAATAAAATAACCTTTTTTCTAAATAATGAAAGATATACTTTTAGTTTTGAAGTTAGTTTCTACAGTTTTCTTGCCATATTACATAACTAATGAAAAGATCTAGTTTAACAATGCAAGTTATGTTGTATTACCTTTTTTATTTAACGGCATTCACTCTATCCCCTATAAGAAATCTCCTAACAAAGATGACCAAAATTTTGCCTTCAAAATGTGTAAGAATTACCATTGAAAACATGCTTCATACAATTGTCTATATGATGTATGACCCTTAATAGCTAAAAACTGCTTTAAGAAGTGAATGGCTCTTTCTATATCTTTGGTGGATTATATAGAAAATAACATTTATGTAGATTTAATTTTATGGGTGAAGATTCTATCATGAAAGGTATTGTTTAAATATTTTAAATATTTCTCGAGATTAAAGTATTGTTGGAGATGGTTATCCACTAAGTCAAAAGTTGAATCTCCATGGAACGTAATGAATCCACCATATAAATCATTAAGTTTACTGGACTGAATTTAGACTTTTGACAGAATGTTTTATACAGGAAAACAACGTTCATGACTCAATGGCTAAGAAAATATTTTAATTTTTAGCTTCTTAGTTCACCTGAGCTGAAAGCTGAAGTGAGCTCTTCTGATCACCCGTTGTCCGCCGTCTGTTCGTCTGTCAGTCTGTAAACTTTTCACATTTTTAATTTCTTCTCAAGAACTACTGGGCCAATTTCAACCAACGTTGGTACGAAGCATACCTGGGTAAAGGGAAATCTGAATTGTTAAAATGAAGAGCCAAGCCCTCTTCCAAGAGGAGATAATCAAGAAAAGGCAAAAATAGGATGAGGTCATTGAAAAATCTTCTTCTCAAGAACAATTGGGCCACAAAAGGTGAAAGTTATGTGGAAGCTTTCTGAGGTAGTGTAGATAGTAAATTGTACAGATCATGCGGGTAGGATGAGGCCACGATAGGGAGTCAAAGTTTTACATTGAAATATATTGGGAAAAAATCTTTCTTTTCGAGAAGCATTGGTCCAAAAAAGCTGAAACTGACGTGAAAACTTCCTAAGGTAGTGTAGATTATAAATTGTTCAAATCATGTCCTCTAGAGGTAGAATGGAACCTTAATAGGGTATCAAAATTTTATACATACATTGAAATATACAAGAAAAATCTTCTCAAAAACTACTGGACCAGAAAAGATGAAAGATGGAGACTTTCTGGGGTAGTGTAGATTGTAAATCATGCCCTCCGGGGGAGGAGGGGAAAATAGGGAATCAAAGATTTACATTGAAATATATAGGATTAATCTTTAAAAACCTTCTTCTCAGAACCAACGGGCCAGAAAAGCTGAAACAGACGTGAAATCTTTTAGAGATAGTGTAGATAATAACTTGTTCAAGTAATGTCCCTGAGGGTATGGTGGGGCCACAATACGGGATCAAAGTTTTACATTGAAATATATAGGAAAAAACCTTCTCAAGAGCCGGAAAAGATGAAATTTGGTTGAAAGTTTCAAGAGGTAGTGTAGATTGTAAATTGTCCAGCTCATGGCCCCTGGGGGTATTGTGGGGCTACAATAGGTAATCAAAGTTTTACATTAAAAAATTTTAGGAAAAATCTTCAAAAAATCTTTAGAACCACTGGACAAGAAAAAATAAAACTTATTTGAAAACTTCCTGATGAAATGTAGATTATACATGTAAATCAGATCATGGCCCCCGGGGTAGAGTGCCACAATAGGAATCAAAGTTTCACGTAGGATTATATGAAAAATCTTTAAAACTCCCCTACTCAAGAACAGCACAGCCATATTAGTGTGGAAGCATCCTCAGGTGGTATAGCTTCAATTCTGTTGAAATCCAATGTAGATGATCATAGTTTTACATAAGAATTTATAGGAAAATATTTTAAAACCTTCTTCTCAAGAACAGGAAAACCATGATTAGTCAGATTTATAGGAAAGCATCTTATGGTAGTGTAAATTTATTTTTGTTCAAAACAAAAAACAACTCTTATTGTTGTTTTCTTTATGCGGGTGTGTATTTTTTTTTTTTTTTTGTTTGTTTGTTTGTTTGTTTGTTGTGTTTTTTTTTTTGCTTTTTTTTTGTCATTGTGGTTGATGTTGTTTTTGTTTTTGTTCTAAGATAAGTTTCATGGTCCGCCATGGACAATCCTAGTATATGGTATAAATTTCATTTCTTTGACAGAGTACGAATGTTTGGAAGATGTAAGCAAAACATTCGAGTCGTTCAAACGAACATGCAGCTGTTTGAATCCTTGCCAGTAAGAAGATATTTTTATTTTTAAATTACCGTTTCATTTTCATCAACTGATCACATTCATTAACAGCATTAACTTGCCGAAAATTAATTTCCGTTCATAATTCTATTTTTAAGTGAGCAAATTTATACCATGAGCAAAAGTATTCGACAGTGGCCCTCCATGCCCTACGCAGTAAGTAGTTGAGTAGTACTCGTTTATACCGTTTATAGTCACAAGTTATTTGCAGGATTTGAAACCAAGGAAACATACATTGATCAGCATTATATTTCCATTTCTATTTGTTTTCTCTGTGATAACTCTTTGAAAGTTAGGAGAGTTGATTTTGTGATCATTCTACCGGAATGCAAATTTCGCCAAGCGAAAAGTCAGGAGCTAAGAAAGCCTAATATGCATGTAATTCTAGTGCGGCTGTCTTTGTGTTTGACGTCAGTGGGCGGGGACTATTGAAATTGACACGTGAGGCCTCGTATAATTTAAGTCTATTAGTCTACATGTTTAAAATCAAAATTTATAATTTTATTTCACAATGAAATGGAAATATAAGGAATCACTGTCTAGTTAGTAGAGGATGCCAGGGACATCAACGAAAGTTGGAAACGTGGGATAATTTATGCATAACGGGCTTCGCCCGTTATGCAAATTATCCCACGTTTCCAACTATCGTTGATGCCCTGGCATACTCTATTAACTAGACAGTGATACCTTAATTAAACACCTCAATCCAATAAACGAGACACAAGTCGTCTTTCTGGTCCCTTAAGCCCTAGGCTTAATTCCTTTTTGTCTGCTTCAATGACATAGATGGAAAAGATGAAAAACTAACAACTGTTATGATAAGTGCGATGACTTCAACTTTCCCTAATTATAAAGCAATATACCACAATCGCCATGTGGGGTTCATGTCGCCCACTTGATTCGATACGCAAGAGCATATTCTACGTACAAACATTTCTTAAACGAGGCAGACTACTGACAAATAAGTTGATGTGAAAGGATATCAACAGTTTCGTTTAAAGTCAACATTTCACAAAGTCTATGGTCGATACAATGACCTTGTTTACAAATACAATCTAATGTCAGGTCGAATGTTGATTGACGTCATTCATACAAATTGTTAGGCGCCTTTATTTTCACACTGGATTGTTTTCCGATATATCTGTTTAGCCGATCATGACAAAGGGCACATGGCGGGTGTGACCGGTCGACAGGGGATGCTCACTCCTTCATGGCACCTAATCCCATCTCTGTTTTCAGAGATCCGTGTTTGCTGTGCTTATAATTGGTACTGCTTAATTGGACTTTTGATCATGATTACTGTTCGCAAGCTTCACATTTCATTCTGACAGAATTATGGCAATTGAAATTTGAATATTTAAATATTGGCACTATGTTGTCCAATGTTTACGCATGTATATACCCTCATAACCTCCGTAAACTAGACAGTTATTCCTTCAGTTCTACATAGTATGAATGCCATAGTACTACAACGGAAAGCATGCATGTTTTCCACCATGTTAATATTCTCTCTACTTACAGACTACTTTAATGCAAACAGTATGTCAGAGTTTCCCAAGGAAGTGCACTTTATTGCAGCAAATGAAGTC